CGCCCCCCATCTCACACTGGAGGCGGGGCGGGGGGGGGGGGGGGGCGGCGGCACAGGGGAGGGGGAGAGGAGAAGGAGTGCGAAGGGGAGGCTGATTCCCTGGCTAATGGGTTGTCTGTGAACACGGGGTTGAATCTTTAGATGTGAGAATTTTCATCCTGCAACTTTGCAGAGCATGAGTACCAATGTGGCCAGCTCCCGTCTTTCACTCACCATAAGAAAGGGAAATCTGGAAATGTGTCTAGTCTGACATTACTGGGCATTCTTGGGCTCTACTGGTCATCCTGGGTTGGTGGAGCCTTTTTCCAGGATGGGTTAGAGATATACCTACACACTGACCTCTTTCCTCCCCCTTTCTTCCCCTTTCAAGCAGAGAAAGCTCTAGTTGTGTGTGGTCCTGTGTGCCCTTGCCACCCCTTCCCTTCCAACCTGTCCTCTTGCTGCTCACCTACTCTATTCACTCCTGACTTAGCGCTTTCTTCTCAATGGAAACTCTGCCCAAATATATATTGTATTTAGTACAGGGTCTCACTATGCAGCTCAGACTCATAGTGATCTTCCTGTTTTCAGCCTCCCAAGTGCTGGGATTACAGGTGCACCACCACCATGCCCAGTCTTAATTGTCATCTCAGTGCACCCCAGGGATGGGGCTGGGATTGAAACCTGGTCCTTGTGCCTGCCTAAGCAGGTGCTTTAATCTGCTGAGATATCTGGCTGGCCCTTGCCCAGGTATCTTTTTATTTATTTATTTATTCATTCAAAGTTTTATTGATAAACAGATAGCAATGAGACAGTTTCAAATCCAATCGGAAGTACAGTTTCAACAAATAATACACTGCCCAGGTATCTTGAACCAGGAACCTGAGAATTTCTGTTCAATTCTGGTCTCTTCTTAGGTACTAGAGTTGAGAGGTAACTCCTGAATTTTGTTGCTTCCAGGTCTGCACATGAAGGTTCTGTATAAACTGACTTCTTAGCCCTTAGCTCTTAACCTTGAAACCTGGGCAGCAGCACCTCTCAAATGCCAGATACCAGAACCCCCATCTTTGGTCATGTGGTTGGCAGGGATCCTGACTTTCCCTTTGCTCTGGGTCAGGTAAGGCAAGGATCCTGCTGGGATAGGAAGGGATTGAATATTCCCTTTTAGACCCATGCAAACAATAAGTAGGTATCATGTAAGGATCCTTGTAAAGGAAGAGACAGAAGTGGGAAAACTTCTTGTTGCTCCAGTTTTGCCCCTTGGGCATGTCAGCTTCTCTTTGGCCTTCACTCTGCCCCTCTGCATGCAATGCTGCTGCTGGTGGTATATATATATATATATATATATATATATATATGTGTGTGTGTGTGTGTGTGTGTGTCTTGTCTGCATCCCATGGTGAAAAATGAGGCCCCAATTGGAGTGTGTTCCTTTCTGGCCCTAGCTACATTAACTTTTCACCTGTGAGCTCTTAGTTATTATAGACACCCCCACTTCTACCCCAGCACAACTTGACTGTTGGTGCCGCCAGCCTCAGATAACCTGCCCTGGACTCTCCAGTTACCAGGAGCAGAAAGAGCTTGCCTTGTGGGTAGAAATGGTTCTGTCTGAGTGGGCTGAACAGCACTGTTCTTTCTCCTGTGCTGTCATTTCTGGTTTTGGCTTCCTCTCTAGGAGTGGGAAGAGGATCCTGGGGGTAGTGATGGTGATGGCAGGGGAAACGTTCAAGGTGTGGGTAAAATCAAAGGGAACCCAGGGATAGGAAGGCAGTTAACCTGTACTGGCCCAGTCCCTTTCCTTTGTCTTTCTCTCTTCCCTGACCTATTCTTGTTTCCCTGCTCTCAGCTATGTCTCCATTGGGGGTAGCTGGTGAAAGGAAGCTGGCTAGAGAAAAAGATATGAAGGGTACATGGAAAGAAAAATGAGAAAATATCACTTGTTTCCCCCTTTAATTGCCATATACACAGAAACTCAAACAGGCTGTTCTTGAGATGGCAGAGCTAGCGGCAGAAGTAGAGAGAGAAAAACCAGATTGATGGGGCAGGACAGGTGGAAGTGGAAACTGGACAGGAAACCTGTGAATCTTCACCTTTGGCTGCAAGGCAGGTCCTGAATTTCTTTTCTTTTCTTTCTTTCTTTTTTTTTTTTGTGTGTGCACAGGGGATCTCAGGACCTTGCCTTTGCCAGGTAAGTGCTGTTCTCGTTTTGAGACAGAGTCTCACTATGTAGTTGAGACTGACCTTAAACTCACTATGTAGCCTCGAACTTTTATGGTCCTCCTGCCTCAGTCATCGAGTGCTGGGATTACAGGCCTGCTCTACACCCAGAGTTTATTTCCAAGACTAAAAAAAGATATAAAATCTATTCCCTCTTCTATCGTTTATCAATTGCTTCTTGAACATAAGGTACTTGCGAGACTAAATCCCTGCTCACTGTTTTTTGGGGGTGGGGAGCTGGACGTGGTGGGATTTGGGGGAATGGGATAGGGAGAAAAGGCAAGATTTAAAGACGCATGGTGGGAAAGCGAGCTCCAAGAAAGTAAAAGAAAGCAGGAGAAGGCTTGATGAAGTAGACATCTGAGCCAGTCTGGAAGGTGAAAAAGGGGGCTTTTAGTGCGCCCTTCCCCGAGGTGGCAGCTGGAGCTCAGCCCGGGCGGCCCCATTCCTCTCACGGCTCCGATCTCCTTTCAGCCCATTCATCTACGCCTGGGTCAGGGGCGGGCGAGCAGACAATCAGACACTGTTTTATCGCAGGCGTAGGCTCCAACCTCTCGCTTGGTCGCGGGGAAACGTGTTTCTCGGGACTCCCTGGGGATTTTTGCGTCTGGGCCTCCGACGCCTGAAAAGAGAGTCGGGCCGGAAGGCTGTGGGCGGCCGAGCAGGTGAGACACAAATAATATCCCCTCGGGGCAGGTCCAGCTCTCCCAGCGACCCAGCCGCCTGCGTTCCGGGCGCTGTGGCCAAGCCTGTTCTTCCAGACGCTGGACCTGTGTGAGTCCGCCACTCGCGTACTACAACTCCCAGCAGGCTTTATAGCTAGGCCGCCGCCGCCGCGTCCGTGGGGAACCACACTACCCGGTGCGCGACGGTGCCGGAAGTTCCGGGAAATAGACACCCGGGCCTGGCACGAGCTTCCGGGTTGGTCGCGCGCCTTCCTTCGGCTAAGATGGCGGCCGACCATCCCGAGCCACCCAAAGGAGAATTGCAGCTTCCTCCGCCACCTCCTCCAGGCCATTATGGCGCCTGGGCTGCCCAGGAACTTCAGGCCAAGTTGGCAGAGATTGGAGCACCAATCCAAGGTGAGAAGCATGGGAGGTCAGGGGAGAACTGCTAGGTCCTGGCTGAGTAGCCGAGCCTGGTTACCCGGGAGACCTGAGAGGAGAGGGGTGGAGGCGAGCCGCCCAGGTTTGGCCTGGCCTTGCTGGCCTGCCTCACTGACCGTCTGCTTTACCCCGTAGGGAGTCGCGAGGAGCTGGTGGAGCGCCTGCAGACTTATAGCCGCCAGGTAAGGGTTGGCGGCGGTACTTGTATATAGGCCGAACTTCTGCTGGAGGCCTTCAAAACCCCCCACTACTGCGTCTTCATTCTTTACTTGTGCTCAGCAAATGGGACGCTTGGTCTTTTCGACAGTTCTTGGCTTTGCCTGCTTTGTTGAAGTCTGCTTCTGTCCATATACTGCGTCTGTCGAGTACTCAGCCCAAACCTAGGCTGATAAGTGCTTGGTAAAATAACGTTGAATGAATGGGAGAGAACTTTGTTTAGTGGAACAACTCCCTTTGGACTGACCTAGACCATTGCTTTCTTTTTCTGCAGACTGGCATTGTGCTAAGTCGGCCAGTTTTGAGAGGGGAAGATGGAGACAAAGCTGCTCCCCCTCCCATGTCTGCACAGGTAAGGAAGTTGTTTCATTTTATAGACTTCCTCATGCACCAGGTAGACCCTTTCACATGCATTGTACTGAGGATGCAGTTAACAGATTGAGTAAGCAAGTCCTGCGATGACAGAATTGGAAACACTTTTTGTGCTTACACTTTTCTCCTTTGAGGCCTGCATCTCTAAATTCTACCAATCATTCAAGATTAAACTTGGGTAGCTGGAATCCTAACTTAATTCTCCTCCAGTTGAAAATAGTTACATGCTTTGATTCCTTGGAATTAGCTTCCATGTTAGTGAGGCGTTGAGGGCTGACTTACTTGATTGTGTACTCCTTGCACTTACTAAGTCATTGGGGTTTGCAGTGACCTGGCACAGTGGTTTCTATTTATTTAACTTTCATGTCCTTTCTGATCCAGGATTTGATACTTTTTCTACAAAGATATGCCTCTAACCTGGGTTTTACTGATTCTGAGTATGGAGTGAGGAGTCCCAAGATGGTTTTTAGAGGTGTCCCTGAGCCTTCTGAAATTCAATGAAAAATTTGTGTTTATGATGCTTTTCTGAGAGTTCCTTACTTTGGATGGTGCCTCAAAGTTAGCATTTTTATTTTTTTTTAAATTTATGTGTGTGTGTGTGTGTGTGTGGTCAGCTCAGCCCACCAGGGGGCGGGGCTGGCTGGTGTGTGGTGCTGGGGGATTGAACCGTGGTCCCTGTGCTTTGCTAAGCTTGTTCTAAGTAGGTGCTTTAGACCACTGAGCCTTCTCACCAGCCCCTAGCATTTGCTAGATATTGCTGTTGAGTATACTCTTATGGAATATGTATAATATGACCTTGAATCTCAGCACCAGATTCATGGTAGAGCACTGCAAATGT